GACAGTGTAAGTCATTATAATCCGTAATTATGTCCCCATTGGATGCAACGACTGCCTCGTTTATAATGGGTTTTAATGTTTTTGTCTCATCGCTCCTGGACACGGCATCACAGTATGATAAGAGGCATAACATTTCCGTAACACGCTTGAGGTATTCGGCCAATCACAACGCACTGGATAGCTGGCCAATCAGAGCACACCTCGCTTTTCAGACTGATGAGCTTTGTAAAAATCGACACGTTTCAGAAAGGCGGGGCATAGAGGAGAAACAATAATGTACAGTATGTGGAAAATAATGTTTTTTTTAACCTTAAACCGCATAAACACATTTCATTACACCAAATACACAAAATCATGTTCTTTTTAGCAACATCATATGACCCCTTTAAGCACTGAGCTTTTTTTTTTAAAGAAGAAAATAGAGTGAATTTGAGATTGCTTTTATGAAGTAATATAATAACTCTCAATGGCTCAATAAAAGTATTATTTGTGGGCGTTATTAAAGGAAATATTCACTACACTTTCTTTTCTCTATAGAGCAGCAGTTCTATTATGCATTAGAAATGCTGTCAGTGTGAAACTCAGTTTGAAACAGGCCTTTCTTATTTCACTGTCCTTATGATTTCCTTTTACGACATCAAATTCCATTCTTCATGCATCAGCTCCCCCAAAAACACTGTCTAGGTCTTGATTACAAAATCTTGATTATAATGTCATAATCCTCTTTATTCTGTTCATCCCCACAGTGACATAAATGGCATTGCTTTTTAATCTTAATCTGTACTTTGTGACATCATTACAATTTCTTATATTTGGGGAATTCTGCCTTGTGATATCATTAACATACAATTTTTTACTCCTTTAGTAATCTCTATGACATCACCGTCTGCAGCATCATGTAATAAGATTGCGCACCTGTTGAAAAGGGCTGCTCATTTTCCTGCTGCAGGTTAGGTAATAATCCAGGATTTCTATTTAGAGAGAAGAGAGAGAGAGAGAGTGAGAGTGAGAAAAATAAGATTGAAGACGTGGGTAAGACTGCGTATGCGTCAGAGATGAAGGCAGATGGACAGTTAGACTTGTTCCAAAACTTAGTGAGCTGTATCACCGCTTACTGCCAACATAGACAGCTACCTTCCGAGGGCCGTTCACACAGAACACGGTTTTGTATTCCACTGGTCTACTTCTTCATTTTTTCTAGGTAAAGCATGTTTTGTGCATGACAGTGTTTTTAAAAAATGTGGCACTCAAGTTAAAATGTTTTTATACACTCATTTTTTTTTTTTTTACATTTCATTTCCCTGCGTGTTGCGCTTGCAAAAATGCACTCTGTGTGAATGGCCCCCAAGACAGTATTCTAACTGTCAGGGAACCTAATGAGGTATTTAAATGTCACCGTTTTTAACAAAAAACATTATATGCGTTTTGGCCATTCATTTACACGAAGATGGCGTTTTTGGGCCTGAAAATCCACATTTTTGAAAAAGGATTTCAAAGTGTACGTTTTTCAAAATGATACCATTATCGTCTTTTTGTAAATTTGTGAAAATGGTGGCATCATGCACATGCGTGACATCGCCAACTGCTGGCCTGGCATGCATAATACAGCGTTTTTAGTCACTTTTGCGGATCTGTGTAAATGGGGATCGTTTGTCGTCTGTATGCAAAACTTTTCAAAAACGCAAAGGAGAAACCTTCCCATTTTTATTACATTGTTGTCATGTAAACGTACCCTAAGTGACTGATTTGGAACACTACATATGTGAAACACAAATGATGCTTCACATGGGAGACTCAATTTGCCAATGCGACTTTAGCATTGTTGCCAAGCTAGAATAGCACACAAAAATATTGGGTAAATTAACCCATTTTAATTGCATGGAACTACTTTATTGTTAGTTTTTAAATTAAATATATTCGTAATCAACATTTATTTTACCTCGTCCGCCATCTTTTAGTTATTCTTTAATGGCGCTCGATGCAATGCATTGTGGGAATGCCTTCCCCACAAAGAATGCTGTGATGCTGCATTATAATTTGTCTAAAATTAGGTATCTTCGGTGCCGCACTTACCGGTAATTAACCTGCCTTTTTGTACAGCCTTCATATTGGGAGAGTAACTGATGCCCTACAATGCTGCCTACGTAGGCAGCTCAATAGGTTTTGAAACAGAGCAATTGTGTATGAAAGAGTTTACTGCACCTGTACTTGTCCTAGAGTTGAAGTGAGTGGAGTTAAGCACAAAAGTGTTTGGGTCAAAGCAAAAATCACTTAGGGCCTGAGAGAGAAAGAGAGAGAGAGAGAGAGAGCAAGAAAGGGAATTGAGCAAAAGCAAATACAGAAGGGAGATGTCAAAAGTGTGACACAGTGACATACTTCCCTCAGTCGCTCTGTCCCACGGCTCTGACTGCTATTGATCTACAGTATTCACTGACACATACAAACTGCCCCTATAATCTATTTTTTTCTCATCCCTCAACCAGTTTTCCATCTTTCCTCTTGTCCACACTGCACTGCCTGTCTGTTTAGCACACTTGCATTCCCTTATGGAATCTGGGTGATTAATCAAAGTGAATAGGACTCAATATTACCAAGAGCTTCATAAGAGGACTAAAGAGGGTCAGGAGAAAGAGAGAGAGACAAAAGAGGACAGAAAACGTGAGTGTGTGTGTGTGTGTGTGTGTGTGTTTGTATATATAATAAAGAGGGAATACTAGGCAATTGTTCACGCTGGCTGGATTTGGACAATGAAACACTTGTTTTGAAGGCCAGCAACTGCCATCTCTTCCTGTCACTTTCTTTCTTTCTTTTTCTTTCTTTCGTTCTCTTTTTCACATCATCGGCATTGCCATTAAGATTTTGGGTTAGGTTAATATTGGTGACACATAACATTTATCCTACATATATACACCAAAATTCAAAAGTTTGGACTTGATTTTTTCTTTTTTTCTTTTCTTTTATGCACACCAAGGCTGCATTTATTTGATCAAAAACACAGTAATATTTTAAAATATTATTGCAAATTTGCAATTTAAAATAACTCTTTTATATTTTAATATATTTTGAAATGTAATTTATTCCTATGATGGCAAAGCTGAATTTTCAGCAGCCATTACTCCAGCCTTCAGAAATCATTTTAATTATTCAGAAATCAGTAATATACTTATTTGGTGCTTAATATTAATATTTTTGCGTAAATAGAAATATAAATGCCTTCACTGCCACTTTTGATCATTTTAATGCATCTCTGCTGAATAAAATAATTAATTTATTTTAAAAAATCCTACTGACTCCAAACTTTTGAACGGTTGTTTATTTGCATTTGTATTTTTACACATATATTTTTTCTTTCCTGTTTAAGTCCATTACTGCTGTATTCCTCTCTGAAACACTCAACGTCACTCTCTCACTCTCTTTTCTTTTCCTGTTGCTTTTAAGACCTCTTATGCTCATCTTCAACGCAGCATCCATTTTTTTTCTCTCTTTTTTTACAAAGAAACACACACGCACTCAGATACACACACACATTGAATCTTTAATCTCTGCCCTATTTTTCTGCCTTTTTGGGATTGTGCCATGACTGCTGAGTTCCCAGAGTGGAAAACCTTTTTCATTATAACATGCACAAACACACTCTATTCCTCTCTCCCTCTTTCATAAGCACACAATAAGTGACTGCATCTTGGCTGGTGTGACCTTTTAAAACTTAAAAAGTCACATTCACAGAGTTTTGTCTGGATTTTTTAGTGATGTCTCCGCAAAGCGCGCTGACACACTCTCACACACACTCATTCACACACAGATGGCGGTATTCTGTGCTGGATGTCCGCTTGCAGAGAGCTGTTGTTGTCTGTTGGGATAGACGTTGCCTGAATACTCACCACCACTGTGGCCGTCTCCAGGCCGAGAGAACCCCAACTCAGAAACAGAGCCAACCAGGCCAGCACTGTCATCCTGCAAATGAGTGTACACACACACACACACACACACACATTTTTACCATCTGCCTCTCTGTGCCAGAGTGGGTGTCAGTAAGCAAAAATAAAACCAATTTTCTGCAAGCATTTTCTATCTTGGGGATTTCAGATACATAATATACATAATAAACACACTACTGTGAACGCTTATGTTTGATTTACATTATGCAAGAATGCTGTGTGCATGTCAAAACTACTAAACACTTAAAGCAGGTGAGCAGTGATTGTTACTCACAGAATAAGTAGCCAGCGGGCCTGTTTGGCTAAACCCAGAAGAATAAAGAAACACACCACCAGATCCAGTAAAAGCAGCAGCACGTACGACAGCCACCTAAACAACAAACACAGACATCTTCAATACGGTGAAATCTCAAAACCTACACCCAGAGTCCAAAATACATTTTTGTCACACCTGCAAAAGGCAGATAGAGAAAATGAGAAAATGTACTACTGCAGAAACCCAATTAATTTTGCATTATTTTCTTATTTTTCCCTCTCATTCATCATTTATTCATATTTTCATTTGCATAATGCAAGGAATGTGCTGCCACATTAAGTTGTTTTTTACAATCTCAGGGAAAAAAAGTGCAAAAATTGTACTTTGTCACTGGGGCAGTACCCACAAAGAGACACATTTGTACCTTTTCCCCGAAAGGGTTCATAATAGTACATATTACTACCTTAATATGACAGCTTTATGAGTAAAGAAGGTACAAAGGTGTCCCTTTGAGGGTACTGCCCCAGTGTCAAGCTGTAGTACATTTTTTGCACATTTCTTTCTCTGAGAATGGATAATATATACTGAAAAGAGTTTTCACAAAAATATTAGGCAGCACAACTGTTTTCAACATTGATAATAAGAGGAAATGTTGCTTGTGCCAGTCTGGCTGCTGAAAATTCAGCTTTGCCATCATAGGAATAAATGACATTTTAAAATAAAGGGATAGTTCACCCAAAAATGAAAATTCTGTCAGTAATTACTCACCCTCATGTCGTTCCTAACTTGTAAGACCTTCATTCATCTTCTGAACACAAATCAAGATATTTTTGATGAAATCCTAGAGCTTTCTGACCCTGCATAGACAGCAACGCAACTGACACATTCAAGGCCCAGAAACGTAGTAAGGACATCGTTAAAACAGTCCATGTGACATCAGTGGTTCAACCGTTTTCTGAAGCTACAAGCATACCTTTTGTATGCAAAGAAAACCCGGATGCCCTGCATCTTGTTTGCAGGCAGAGAAATGCACACACATGCGCTGTGGTACTGTCATGAACGTGCGTTGAAGACTGACACGGAAGAGAAGAAATTGTTTATTAATAAAGTCGTTGTTTTTGTCTTCTTTGCACACAAAAAGTATTCAAAACATTTCGGTAGCTTCATAAGATTACGATTGAACCACTGATGTCACATGTACTATTTTATCGATGTCCTTACTACCTTTCTGGGCCTTCGACGTTTCAGTTGCGTTGCTGTCTATGGAGGGTCAGAAAGCTCTCGGATTTCATCAAAAATATCTTAATTTGTGTTCTGAAGATGAACGAAGGTCTTACTGGTTATGGAACGACGAGTGATTAATGACAAAATTTATGACCACCTAAATATATATTTAAACATAAAAACTAAGCTTCAAAAATCTTGAATAAAAAGTCATAAAGGCATCGAATATGGCCCTTTAAGCATATTGTGATATATTTTTAATCAGTAGAATATCAGCATTTATAAGCAGTGAACTCACAAACGTTTTCTTTTTCTATTAGCACTCATGTCTTTGATGTCTCCTCACCTGTAGTCTTCATTCACCATGAGTGTGTTTGCTGCCCAGCCAGGGGAGAAGGGTGCAGGAATGCTGTTGACAGATGGACTAAGAGTGGGGGCTACAGAAGGAGGTGCTGGGGTGAGCACTCCCACTATGCTTTCACTTCCATTTGCCCTGTAAAATCCATCTGCAATGGGGATCAGACCTCTTCCCAGTGTCAGGTTGGAGAGGAGAGACATGACTCGCTCTGACAGACGCCTGCAGGAGCGTGTGGGCACGAGTGCCGGCTTATGCCCACCGAACACTTCCTCCATGGAGGTCAAGGGCCCTGAGACAGACTGCTGCAGCCCGACTACGGTGTCTGAAACCTGGGTATGCAAGAGGAGAAGATCCTTTGCTTTGAATTATGGCATTAACCCAATGCATTTGTATCCAGATCTGACATATGAACAGACTAGCTTGGAATACAAAAGAAAAGAGTAGTGGAAAAGATATGTGGAAGATAAAGGACAATGGAATTGAATGGAAAAAGTTGGAATGGAGGGAGAGGGTCTTATAACAGTACAGTAGAAGTAAAGTAGGTCATTAATCAGATTGACGTGCATTCATTGATTGACCATATGAGCAACCAGCTAAATCAATACCCGGAGAGGATTTTATCTCACTCGTTCACACACAAACACGTTCAAACACTCTCACTCTGAATTCCCCGGATCGCTTACTTGCAATCACAGTGTAATAAAACCATTTAGTGTGTTTTCTGAACGTCCTGCATTTCTTTTGGTCCCCTGGTGCTTAAGGAGATTGATGGAATAAGCTTTTGTGTATGTATGAGTGTGTGTGTGTGCATTTGTGTTCTCACCAGAAGATCGATGGAAGCCAGTGTGTAATTGGCAGTGAGCAAGGATGAGGTCAACTGATACATCCCATCGTTCGCCTCACTGTTGCCGTAGAAACCGATGCCTATGGCAACACTACAAAAAGCAGAAATATGAACAAGGAGAGAAGACAAAGAAAGGGAAGAAAGAGAACATGAACAGGGAATCAAAAAAGGGAGAGCGGGAAAACAAAATGAGACATATTTAAGATAGATTATGTACATTTAGTCAACATATTCTGTTACACCAAATACACAAAATAATGATCTTTAAAATAGCATCATATGACCCCTTTAAAGTTTGGGGTCGGTGATTTTTTTAATGTTTTTGAAAGAAGTCTCTTATGCTCAACAAGGCTGCATTTATTTGATCAAAAATACAGTAAAAACTGTAATACTGAGAAATATAATTACACTTTGTGTGTAATAAAATGTAGTTTATTTCCATCATGGCAAAGCTGAATTTTCAGCAATCATTTCTACAGTCTTCAGTGTCGCATGATCCTTCAGGAATCGTTCTAATATGCTGATTTGGTGCTCAAGAAACATTTCTTATTATTAAAAATGTTGAAAAAAGTTGTGCTGCTCAATATTTGTGTGAAACTTTTTCTTTCTAGGATTCTTTGTTAGATAGAAATTTCAAAACAACAGCATTTACTCAAAATATAAATCTTTTTAACAATATTTAAATATCTTTACTGTCAGTGTCACATATGATCAATGTAATGCATCCTTGCTGAATAAAAGTATAAATTTGTTAGAAAGAAAATCTGATACCAAACTTTTAAATGGTAGTATTCATATTAAATGGTTTCAACGCAAACACACTAAAGAGCATTGGAATCCAAATCAACAACACTGAAAATACACTCATTTACATATCTATTTCACATTCAAATATTCAGATTAATGCTTGGGCCAGATGCTTGTCCAATCCTTTCCAACCTGCTAAAAATAGCAAATCTCAGCCTCTCGCTAACTGTTTGACCCAGATTAAGCCAAAGAAAGCAGAAATGTGCATTTCGAAATTATAATCGCAATGTAAGCAGTAAAGGTGTGCATATATGCAGTCATCTGTAAATCAGTGTCTAGCTTCGGAATCCTTCAGAAAAGAGGTCAAAGTGGATGGGAAGGGGGTGATGTCATGGGGGTGGAACACGTGCCGCATTAGAACGTTTGCATCATGCACAGAGCAAACCAAACCAGTTCTCACAGAAACAATGCTAATTTACACAAACAATTTATGTGTGACTTCAAGAACATTAATACATCATGCTGATGGTTCAGATCAATGAGGCATGAAAAAGCATTGGGTTTCATATTCATTGCCCTGAATATATTAAATGGGTTGGTGTTCTGCCAGTATGTGTGTACTGAGAGAATATAATTGAAGGAAACCATCCCTTGCAAATGTGCAAATGAAACAGAGCTTTATTTAGAACAAAGCATGACATCTTTATAATGCAAGTCTAGAAGTGGGGGGAAAAAAGCTACTGTTTAGCTTTGACAGATATGGACAGTAAGTTTAAGTTTGCTGCTAATAAGAGAAGCCCTGAACAGTTTTCTTATTCTGCACTCTGATGTGTGAAAGCACAATATGGTGTGAGTTAAATACAGTAGGGAACATTTTTAATATTTTATTTTATTCACTAAACTTTTCTCTGGTATTCTGCTCTGTAATTCACATGTGTATAAATTGAACTGAATCGAGCACAAAGTCTATTGTGACCGCACCTTTACTCGAAAAATATAAAATATAATTTTTGCATCGTATGACTATCGTGCCAGAAGGGCGAACCATAAAAGCATGACAAATCTTAAAGATGTGTTTTGCAGTACTGCTTGTTCATGAGCTTCTATTATCTTTTGAATTAAAAATGTCTGCTCCACAGAGAGTAATCACTGGCATCTGAAAATTACTGTCATTAACAGGCATTACCAACACAATGTGACGGCTGCAACCGATACCCATGTGACACAGCAGATGCCCCGCCCCTTTCTGCCGCTGGCATCATCGTCTTCCACCTCTTCCTCTGCATCCCGGCCGCCCTCACCACGATGGCAGCAGCAGCAGTAGTGGATGAGGAAGGAGATAACTACAAGTAACGAGAGGATGAGAGCAATGGCGGAGAAGCTGGAGAGGACCAGAAGAGTCTGTGGAAAGAGAGGATGGAAAATGAGTAAGAAGAAAAGACAACCAAGCACTCAAGACTTTATTACTACATATACATTTTACTGAGAATTAGCTGGTCTACAACATGATATCAGTTTTTAGATGGTGCCATTGGTCTAAAAAAACAATGAGCAATGGATTTGAAATCAAGTCTTGAATCTGATCATCATTAAACTCTTTAAACGAATGAATTACTTTTGTTAATTTTAGGGTACACTGTAAATAAATATTTTTCAAAGTTGTAAATAATACAAAGACTATTGGAGTATGTTTTACAAGAAAACACTATTTCAGTCTGTCTACTTCAAAATTTCATTTTTAATTCAATGTGTTACTTGTTTATTTGTGAAATTTAACAGCAACCAAAACAGAAATGTAATATATGACAATACAATATATGATACACATATTACCTATATATAATTTTCTCATTCGTACAGTCTCTGGGTAGATGGAGATAAAACACATATAAAATCCCCATAGTAAAATGTGTATATGTACATGTGGTAATAATAATAATAATAATAATAATAATATTATTATATATATATACACACACAAAAATCTGTATGTTTATATATGGTTTTGTATTTTTTTTTAATACATGTATATCTGTTATATTTACCTAAATAATACCATCAACATGTATTGTCGTGTTTTCACATGCATAAACATGCATTGTAAGGGCTAGTTATATATGTTACTATATGAAAATGTTCCAATTTCGAATAGGTTTTATATATGTGACCGTTTATTTCATATATGGAAATGTAATACATGTACATAAATTACAGTTTCATATGGGAATGTCTGAGTGAAAATTAGAAAATCCTGCAACAAATTATTTTCATTATAAAAATGAGCACAGAATATACATACTGCATAGCTGCATAGCATTCAAGCACATGCATGTATTGTATAGAACAGTGTTTCCCAACCTTTTTTTAGTCGCGGCACCCTTTGGAAATTTTAACAAACTTGTGGCACCCTACAAAATTAATTTTGTCACAATATTTGAATTTCTAACTTTGATATGATAATTTGAAAAGTATAGATATTCGGTACAACAGGGAAGAACTGCAGAATATAATGCCATACAGATATTTTTAATATTATTAAAAAAAGTTGTCCATCAATGGTGGCAATC